TTTCAAATATGGGGATCAAGATCAACCCCGACAAAATAAAGGTCGTCGAAGAGATCATAGTGGTAAACAACGTAAAAGTCATTATACGGCTGACAGGGTGGATCGCAGCCCTAGGCAGATTCATATCGAGATCATCAGACAAAAGCCACCATTTCTTTTCCCTACTCAAAAGAAAGAACAACTTCGAATGGACTCTAGAATGCCAACACGCCCTAAAAGAACTGAAACAGTACCTGTCTAGTCCGCCTTTGTTGCACACACCCAAGGAGGATGAAACGCTATGCCTATACATGGCCATGTCCGAAATAGCGGTAAGTGGAATACTTGTTCGAGAAGATCAAGGTACGTAATTTCCTGTTAATTATGTAAGCCAAACCTTGGGGATGCTGAAACTCGGTACCCGATCTGGAAAAATTGGCTTTCGCACTGATAATCACTTCGCGCAAGCTGAAGCCTTACTTTTGGTGCCGCTGTATTTGCGTCTTGTCGACTTATCCCCTCCGGGCTGTACTACATAAACTTGAGTTATCGGGTCGATTGGCCAAATGGGCCATTGAACTCAGGGGGTATGATATCGAGTATCATCCTTGGATGGCCATCAAGTCCCAAATACTGGCGGATTTCATAGCCAATTTCTCGCCATCCCTCATGCCCGAGGTAGAGAGGGAACATTTATTAAAATCAAGCACGTCCTTCGAGGTATGGACCATGTTCACAGATGGTGCCACAAACATAAGAAGATATGGACTCGGTATAGTCCTAAAGCCGCCCGTCGGCGGCATAAACAGGCAATCCATAAAAGCTGTTTGGCTAACTAACAATGAAGCCGAGTATGAGGCTATGATTGCAGGTTTAGAGTTGGCTAAAAGTTTAGGAGCCGAGACTGTCGAGGCAAAATGCGATTTGCTCCTCGTGGTAAGCCATGTGAACGGAAGCTACAAAGCCCGATAGGACAGGATGCAAAGGTACTTGGACAAAATCCAAATCACATTATGTCGCTTCAAAGAATGGACCTTAGTACATGTACCCTGAAATCAGAACAGTGAGGCCGATGCCCTCGCAAACTTGAGGTCCTCCGCTGAAGAAGAAGACCTGCTCCCCGGAGCTGTCGTCCAACTGTTCAAATTTGTGGTCGAGAAAGGTCATGCAAAAATTAACTCCACCAGCCTGACATGGGATTGGAGAAACAAATACATCGTTTATCTGAAAGACGGGAAGCCTCGCTGGTTCGGATGGCTGCCCAAAAGCAAAAAATCAAAACATACTACAATAGAAGAACAAATATCTGATACATCGGGATCGAAGAGTTGGTCCTGAGGAAGGTTACGCTCAACACCCGAAACCCTAATGAAGGGAATCTGGGCCGAAATTGGGAAAGGCCGTACCATATCCTTGGGATAGTTGGCAAAGGATCCTATAAGCTTGGCTCCTTGGAGGGCGAACAGCTTCCGAGTAACTGGAATGTATTGATTCTTAAGTGGTATTACTACTAGGGCATCCAGTTGTAAAACCCCACAAATATCCTCGAGAAAACTCGCACTCTTTTCCTTCGACCGGGTTTTTTTATCCCGAAATGGGTTTTTGCTGGCAAGGTTTTTAACGAGGCAACGTCCACGCACTTCCCAAAAGGATTCAAAGAGCCTACAAGACTCCCTTTGCAATCAGCCCTGCCCCAGGAAAATGTCGAACGTGACTCCAATAGAAAAAAATAATGTACTGGATAAAATGGCCCAAGGAGCCGTGCCTGCACAAGCCGAGCTCACAACAACAAAGCAGCATGTATTTATGCCAAGCAATAAAAGAATATTTTTTAGCATCTCATACTCCAACAGAGGAAATCTCAGTATACTTTTGATACGGATCCCTCCATCAAATGCATCCTGAAATACACAGAGACTTAACGCTAAAAATTTGACACCCGCACGACTCCAGGGTCGGAACTCTGGGATCATAAGGCCCCAACAAGGCAACACCGAGCTCAAAAATAGCGGCCTTTGAGCCCAAGCAAACTTGATGACTTGAAGACTGTCGCCAATCGCCTTACACTGGGAAACCCAAGGTCGTAAGACCCCGAGTGGGCAGATTCGGTATAACCAGATCTATTCTACATAGCAACACAAACTGTAAGACCTCAATAGACATGACAAACTGTAAGACCTCAACATGCATGACAAACTGTAAGACCTCAACAGGATTGAACAATTTTGTAAGACCTTACTATAGGCATAAAACACAAAATCCCGATGTTTAGGATATACATTGCATTTGTAATAATCCCAAAAGGGCATACCCTCGGTGTAATGCCTAAACTATCACTTGGGCTCAAAAATGGCTCTGGCCAAACACATATGGCTACAGTCAAAATGATTGATCTAGCCAAATTAACGCGACTTAGGGACACCTGACCATCGCTAAACAAAATTGCAAGCCACTACTTCGAATATACTTCGGAAAGAATCAGTTAAAACCGGCTTCCCTTAGCAGGCAAACCATCTTCGACCATGTCAGCTCCAAATCACAAGGCTTCGATCTACTCGGCCTATGAGCTAAAAACCTTCTGAGGTGCTCGAACATCACGCTAACGACTTAAAATTGAGGTTCTTCTCGAACCGACGACAGGTTAGGCAGAATTATTTCAAAAGTCCTTAACGGTAGGAATACAAAGCCTATAAAATGCCTAAGGGCAAAAGCGTAAGAGCCATTGTCGTCAGCCAAATAAGCCCCAGGATGGTTTGTTGAAGATCTCTTTCAAATCACTACCCAACTGTCACAGATCTTTAAACTCGGAGTTACTGTAGCACGCAAGTTCTTCAGAAATTTGCATTGCTACTGCATTCTATGCTTGCAAACTAGGCTACCATCTATGATTTTGTGTTCTCTTCTATGGAACATTGATCAATCTTGATTGAGAGTTCAACTTTAATCTAGTTCTTGAATTTCTGTAGCAAACAGTCTTTTCACATGAAGTTGCTTTACTTTCACGTATATCATAAATCACTGTAGATCAACTAAAGCTGGACTGATCTGATCACAATTCATAGAGGTCGTTCATAGCCTCTAACACTAGTGACCAGCCTCTTTCAATGGCTGGCAGGCCCCCCAAGCATCTACCACTATTCAAAACAATACTACTCCAATACACAAGCCTTTAGACTACTCGAACCTTTTGAAGCCAACTGTGATTAATGCAGCAATTCATGGAAAATCATCAAAACAATGTCCTGTTGATCCTACCCTAGAGCGACAAGCAGCAATCTTGAATGGACAACCAGATGTGAGATTTACGGAGGCAGAAGTTGAGAGAATGAACATGATCGAGGATCTCCAATATGCTGTAGTGGGAAAATTTGCATATGGCTGGCCAAATTTAAATGAGATTCGTCGCATTTTTCCCTATCAATGTGGATTAAAGGGAGAATGTAGTATTGGTTTGTTGAGAGACAGACATGTCCTTATACGTATGACCTTGTGGCAGGATTTTGTTGATTTTACATCAAAAGGAGCTCAATACGTCAAGGACAAGAACGGCAATGAATACCAAATTCGACCTCTCATTTATGATGTGAAGTTTAAGTTAGAAGAAGAGACTCCAATGGCTATGGATTGGATATCATTTCTAGGTTTGTTACCTATATACTTTGTGAATGAGTGTATTTTTTCTCTTGCTTCAGCTGTTGGGAAACCTTTACATTTGGATATGGATACTATAAATAAGACTCGACCTAGCTGTGCGAGGGTAAAAGTTCCTGTCGATTTATTAGCTGATCATCCTAAAAATGTAAGAATGGACATTGTTAATGAAGCAACAGGTGTAACAAAGACTGAATGGGTAAACATTAAGTATGATATGATTCCTAAGTACTTTAAGGAATGCAGATTACAAGGCCATGATTATTTTGAATTCTGGAAATCTCATCCGGAATTATCACTTATCAAAGCAAGCAGAATGCTGAAAATAACAAGGAGCGGACTCAACTGCATCATAATCAACCATTGATGATCTTATCAAGTGGGAGAGTTGTAGGTAATGTGAATCCACCTGGGGAACAATGGAAGGAAGTAAGAGACAATCGAGTTAAAAAGAATGGAAATCGCGTGGTTACAGGGAAAGAAATTGTTCATGTTGAACAAGCTAACGGGCAGCAGCTGCAAGTATCTGGTAATCCTCAAAATAATGCTACTTCATCAAATGAAATCATGACAACTTGATAATAACTAGCAGAACATTGGTAATGAAGGAGGCAATTTTCTCAAGTTAATACAGCCAAACAAATTTGAAGCTCTACAAGCAGAACATGAAAGTACAGCAGGAAATCAAATTGCTATTATAGAAGGAGCTGATATGCAGACCACAAATATTCAGAAGGCCTTGGATCCAGATGCAGCAATTTATACTCCTATGTCTAATAAAGTGGCATCATCAAAGACAGTTCATGTTGGGCATCCTAATGGGGAAGGGAATGAAACTAAGGAATGTGCAAAAATAAGTAAGGAGAATACTTCTCAATGGGTAAATAGAACCTTCCCAATGCCTAAGGTTACTACGAATCAGTCATGCCAAGAAACCCCCCTCTCAATCACTAGATACAAGCATAATTCCTGAGCATGAAAGTCTTAAGGATCGTGTAAAGTTTTTGGGAGGTAAACTATGACAGCAACAACGTGAAGAGGAATCAGACGAATGGGAGTTCCTAGAAGGACATGAGGACGTGGAAGAAATACAAAACAAAGATCCAGATGTGGAACAACAAAGTGTCAATGGCAAAAATAGCACAATTGAAGTACAAAGAGCAGAAGAAAGTAGCAATGCTAATACTACAGCTGACCAACCTTTCCAAGCTGAACAGCCTCTTAAAATCACAACACCACCATCCAAACCTGAACCAAATGTCTCTGGCACTATTGAGACATATGAACCTACAGTCCAAACCTTTAATGCAGGGGATATAAATGATCCAGGAGATCCAGATAATAAAAAGGAAGAAGCAAGATAGCAACAAATGGAAGGAACTCAGAAGAAAGTGGAATTAGAATTGCAGCAGTGCTTACGCAATACTAATGGAGGTGATGGGGCTACCTTAACTCAAATGCAAGAAGCAGTAACATGCTATAATCCATCAACTACAAAGGAAATGGTCACGATAAAAACCAGTGCTAAGATTGTGGTTCCTAAAACTACCAGGAATCAGTTAATCAATCAAGAAAATTATGAAGAAGAGGAGCAGACACAAAGGGCAAAAGGAAGAGATATGGATGCAGAATCTACTACACAGAACTTCGTAAATGTTGCTAGACAAGGTGATATCTCACCTAGACATATGGAGAAAGGTAAATCAGCAGGAAGAGGGAAGAAAAAAAAACAAGAGAGAATACTAGGGTGCATATTCCAGGAGTCCAAACAAAGACAACTCTATCCAAATCAATCAATTGATGATGAATGCTCTAATTTGGAATATAAGGTCAGTTAACACAATGCAAACATTTGAAAGGGTAATAACATTGGATAGACAACATCAATTCGATTTTATTGCTTTGATGGAACCAATGCAACAAACTTGAACAGTTGAGCAATATAGAAGAAGGCTAGGTTTTGAGTAGGTGGTTGTAAATGTTTCAAACAAAGTATGGATCTTCATAGATCAAAAATATGATTTTGAAATTCTTTTTAACATGGAGTAGCAGATTACTTTAAAGATGACCAAACTGATGACCACACAGAGTTCATTATTTCCATTGTCTATGCTAAATGTGATGCAAGAGAAACAATTGAGTTGTGGGACACTTTGTATTCCTTGGCTAATGATATGGTTTTACCCTGGCTTGTGGGTAGAGATTTTAATGTGATATGGGATGAAGAAGAGAAATTTGGGGGCCTCCCAGTTAATATAAATGAGATTGATGATTTTAGACATTGTATAACCACATGCAACCTTTTTGATCTTGGCTTCAAAGGAAGCATATCCACATGGTGGAATGGGAGATCTGAAGAAAACTGCATATTCAAAAGGCGAGACAGATGTTTAGGCAACATGGAGCTTCAACAACTTTGGCCAGGCTTGGAGATAAATCACCTATCTAAGATTGGCTCAGACCACAGCCTAATGCATCTCACATATAATCCTAGTACTGGTCAGATCAAAAAAGCCTTTAGATTCTTAAATTTCTGGATCAAACATGAGTCATTCTTGAATGTAGTTAAGGAGCATTGGCAGGCAGACTTCCATGCAAGTCCATTCATACTTTTTAACCACAAGATGAAGAAACTGAAGAAAGCTCTTTCTACATGGAGCAAGGCCTCGCTTGGTGATATATTTCAAAGGATAGCCAGCTTGGAGGAAGTGGTGAAGGTGCATGAGACACAATTTAAAGTGAATCAAACTGTACAAAATCGTGAAAGGATCCAAATGGTGCAAGCAGATCTTATTCGAGTGTGGCCTTTGGAAGAAGAATTTTGGAAACAAAAAGCAGGCATGGCTTGGTTCAAAGATGGAGATAGAAATACTAAATTGTTTCATGCTCATGTTAATGACAAAATAAGGAAGCTACAACTAAAAAGAATACAAGACATGAATGTGAATTTGTTGGAAGATCTATCAGCTATTGCAGATGAAGCTGTTCTTTTCTTCCAGCAGCAATTTCATGAATCCACAATTCCTACTGACTTTAGGATATTGGATCATGTCCCAGTAATGTTAAATGAAGTGCAGAACTTTGAGATTACAATGCAGCCAACAATTGAGGAAGTGAAGAAGGCTGTGTTTGGTTTGAATGGAGACAGTGCAGGGGGACCTGATGGATTCAATGGTAATTTCTTTCATGCTTGTTGGGAAATCATTGGGGGGGACATACTAGACATGGTGCAGGATTTTTTCTGTGGGCAGGAACTACCCAAATTTGTGACTCATACAAGTTTAGTCCTACTACCTAAGAAGAAGGATGTCCAGAACCTTTCAGATTTAAGGCAAATTAGCTTGAGTAATTTCTCTAAAAAAATCATATCAAGGGTTATTCATGAGAGGGTAGTGGATATAATTCATAATATTATATCTGATGAGCAAGAAGGGTTTGTAAAAGGTAGAAGTATTGATGAGAATGTATTACTCACTCAAGAAATAATCACTGACATTAGATTGAGGACAATGGCAGGCCCTAATGTAATTCTAAAATTGGACATGATGAAGGCATATGATCGACTCACCGGGATTTTTCTCACAAAGATCTTGAGGAAAATGGGATTAACTTAATGGTTTATTGGATTGATTTTTGGGATTGTATCATACAATTGGTATTCAGTTCTAGTTAATGGCCAACCACATGGTTTTTTCAAGTCAACCAGAGGGGTGAAGCAGGGTGACCCTCTGTCAACAACGCTATTTATACTAGCTGCAGAGGCAATGTCAAGGGGTCTAAATGTTTTACATCATAATTTGTACTTTTGTGGATTCAGAATGCCGAAGTGGAGCCTTAAGATTAACCATCTTGCTTATGCAGATGATGCAATCATTTTCTCATCCTCAGATGATACAACTTTAAGATTGATTATGGAAGTTCTAAATGCTTGCAAAGCAGCATCTAGACAACTAATCAACAAGGCAAAATCTGCAGTTTATGTTCACTATTTTACAAGCGATGAAGTTGTTAGGAAGATTGAAGGAATAACTGGTATACAGAGAAAGTATTTCCCATTCATCTACCTGGGTTGTTATATTTTTTACAAAAGGAGAAAAATGGAGTATTATGAAGATTTGATATCAGAAGTGCTGGATAAACATCAAGCGTGGAAAGGGAAACTATTATATATCGGAGGAAGGGCAGTACTAAGCAGCAGTGTGTTGCAAACCATGCCAATTCATCTACTTTCTGTAGTAAATCCACCGGCCTATGTTTAAAGAAACTACATAAATTTGCGGGATTCTACTGGAGCAATTCTATTGATGGTAGAGCTAGACATTGGGAATATTGGGAAACTTTATGCTTACATAAACATGAAGGAGGAGTGGGATTTTGATCCTTAAATGTTATGTCAAATGCTCTCTTTTGCAAGCTATGGTGGAACTTCAGGACTAAGCCATCTTTATGGAGCTCTTTTATGAGTCAAAAATATTTGAAGAAGATGCATGCAACTACTGTGCCCTTTACACGTTTGGAGAAAAATGTTGGAATGCTGAGACTCTACTGTACATTTGATTTTTTGGAAACTAAAAATTGGATCTACCCTATTTTAGTTTGACAATTGGATAGGCTTGGGTGCCCTTTACTTTGTAATACCCCCGGAGTTTATAGTTGATGAAACAATCCATAATGTGAATGATGTTGTTGTGGAAGGGCAGTGGGATGAACATATGAGAAATATTGTCAGGTGACTTAGCGCTATGCACATTATGCACACCATACAAGCTCCATCGATGAATGATGAACTGGACAAACCTATTTGGTGTTTGGAAATAAGAGGTCAATTCACAGTTAAGTCAGCTTGGGAATATTTGAGGAGAAGGAAAGATCCAGCTCTTATATACGACAACATGTAGGTTAAAGAATTGCCTTTTAAGATCTCATATTTTATGTGAAAACTATGGAAAGGTAAGCTACCACTTGATGATGTAATTAGAAGGATGGGATACTACATGCCATCTAAATATTGGTGTTGTGTAATGCCAAAGGAAGAGATATTAAGCCATGTTTTCTATCGATCACTCACAGCCTTAAAGGTTTGGTCTTACTTCTATTCTCATGCTGGATTATCTCTTGAGGGCTTAAACCTGCATCAGGCTATGGTGAAATGCTGGACAACAAAGGTAATTCTGAGACTCAAACCAATATTCCAAGCACTGCCTAGTATAATTGTGTGGGAACTATGGAAAAGGAGGAACAACAACAAGCATAGTGAGGCAATGTCAACCAATCGAGTGGTATACCAAGTCTGCAATACTATTCAATCTCTTATTAAGGAAGCTAGGCATTGATCGAGTACCATTCATATGGCCTGATATACTTAGAATGATGGAGAACTACACTTCCAAACTGAAGTTCAACAAGGTTTTATGGGAACTCCCTATGATAGGTTGGACAAAAATTAATACTGATGGGGCCTCGAGAGCTAATCCAGGTAGGAGTTCAATTGGCTTTTGCTTGATGAATGAGGAAGGAGATCAGGTCTATGCGTGTGGAAAAGAAATTCAAGAGGTGACAAACACTCAAGCAGAAACAAGGGAAATTTTTGAGGCCCTGAAACATTGTTTGACTAATGAGATGAATAACATATGGGTAGAAACTGATTCTATGCTGCTCAAGAAGGTCATCACAAGGGAGTGGAAACCACCATGGGTTATTGAGGAGGAAGTGAAAGAGATAAGGTAGATGCTAATGTCGTGCAATGGCAGGATAACACATATTTTCAGAGAGGGAAAAAAGCTAGCTGATCATTTGGCAAACTATGCTCTTGATCAAGGAGTCATAGAATGCCACTCTTTTCATCATCTGGATACACAAGGCAGAAGACTAGTTAATGGAGACAAAATGCAATGTACATTTTTTAGAGTAAAGGCTTCGAGGCAGGAGAGGTTAACACAAGGGTAAATGGGATGATTTCAAATCCTAGGGGAGGAAAGGAAGTCGACAAATGTTATTTTACTAACCTTGGGTTCTTTTTTGCAGGAATCGATACTGTGCTCAAGCCATGTCACTTAATACGACTTCTATGGGTGGTATTAGTACTTTGTGCTCAATCCCTTGAAGGAGGAAAGGTGACATGCATAAGCTTGAGGAAAATCTGAACTAGCAATCCATCAAAGAAAAACAGAAGGCTAAGAGGAAGAAATCATCAATGCAGCATCATAGTCGACCACATGAAGTATCCAATTGTGTAGGGAACTCAACAACACACAAAGGATGGACACATGACATCGAGGTCAAATGTAGCAGAATCACTGATGAACCCAACATCCACAATGCTGCAGAAGTTACCTGTAGGTTGATATCATCAATATACAACAGGAAACAAAATGCACATGCAGGGAACCACTCTTTAGGAATACAACAGAAGGATACAAAGTGCATCGCATGGTTATGGAAGCAGGTTGTGTCTGGACATAATGAACCTTTATTAAAGTTCATCATAAAGAACTTTTCAAACGCAGCAACCTACACAAATCCAATGCGCTCTCTCGACTGGAAATGTTTTTAAACAAAGGGAGGGGATCGAGGATAAGTACTCGATAGGAGTAAAAAGCTTAGAAGCGTGGTTGCACATGTCAAGAACATGGGGCCACAAAGGATTAATGAGACTTGGGACTTTAAAAAAAGGAACATTGGGTAGTGTTTCTGCACACCTAAAGTTTGGGACAAAGCATGGGCCATTACAATTACCCATGGAAGACTAAAAAAAGGAAAACTTCTTGCATTTTCGAGGTGATGGAAATTTTGCACAGCAACGAATCATTATGAGCATCTCAATCTAACGCACGCCTACACAGAAATCAACTGTAATAGGTTTTCTTTAATAGCAAAAAGGCTTGGATGGAGCAACAATGCAGTTCAAAAAGCTCAACAATTCTTCAAGAGGTAATCAACATGGCAACCTTCGATGCAGGAAGAATTTGAGACGCAATAGGGTAATATGCAATCAATAATGGAACAAGACATACACTTTTATGGCAATCAAAGGTTCACACAAATACACAATGAGTTACGCTATTATTGCAAGTGCAGCGCAAGGTACAAGATGCAGTTAAAGACAATCTGGACTGAATACTGGACTTTGGATATATTTTCCATAAATTTAACAAAGTCAAAATACACTATATTATGCGATGCTCACTGTGCAGGACTACATTTTAAACATTTGGCTAGTTCTAGATCTAATTTAATATCAATGTTGAATTTCAAACTGAATATTGATAATAGGTTTCATATAACCATCAAAGTTTATCTTATTCATTATGTTAGACCCCCTGACACTGTATTTTATTTATGATTTTATTAGTTATAAAAATTAGCCCTAGGCGATTGCCTAGTGGATAAAAAAAAAGGTCTCGACGACCAAAATCGCGAAGAGCCACTGTCGCCAGTGTAGAAACTGAAAACTTGAGGATTAAAATGAGCTCGAGTCGTAACCCGATTCAGAGACCAGATCCAAAAAAGTTAAACTACAACATACCTAAGGGAAGTGTAAACGCCATTGCCGCCAGCCAAACGAGCCTCCAGGCCATGCACTCAAAGGGTCACTTTGACCCAAGGCGCAAGAGCCATCGCCATCCGCCCATGCAGGAACAAAAAGCTCTAGGGTCAATTAAAGCTCTAGTTGCAACACGACTCAGAGACTGCACCTAAAATAAGCTAAATACAAATGCCCAAGGGCAAGGGATAAGAAACGTAATTACCCGATCACGCAGGCACAGAAGAGAGAAAATCAATAAGGCTCGGGACAAACTCGCCCCGAAAACCCAATGCAAAACAGCTGGGCAAAAGCACAAGACCCCTCACGGTAGTTCACACTAGAGGCCGCAACGACCAGCCGCACGACAACTCCCGAACCAGCCTAAACGGGATACAAAGCTATATTGCGGGTCTAAGGTTCTTTCTCCAATTCTTGCTAAATTCAGAGCAGAAAGGGGAAAAATGGAAATGAAGCCATGGGATTCACTTCATACATATGTCAAAATAAAATTACTATATACAAATAGGGAGATCAACAACAAAAAACAATAGATCCTAATCTATTGCCGAAACGACATCCTCAAAGGTTGCATCCAGGCGATTATGAAACCCCTGACGGCCCCTTCTCAATAGTGTCCCCTCTTTCCGGGGATCCACCCCCATTTTTAACACTGCTCGAGTTGCCTTCCAATGCGCCCTCAATGGTCAGCCTTCGAGTGTCTGGCCAAGCACGATCCGCGGCTTGAGGTAAAGTTGGGCTAGCCCCCTTGAATTTCCTCTCAACGCAAGAATCTGCGATGACCGCTCCTCCCTCTTGCAAAATACAAGCACCTCGGCCTCAGCCTTGATCCCAAACAATTCAGCCACTAGCTCGGAATGGAGGCTCTTATACTTTCCACTACCCTAATTTGTATCCTGGAGTTGACTCTCAATCAAGGTAACTCTCCCCCTAAGGTTGTCCCTCTCGGAAGCCACCTCACTCACATGCCGACTAAGCTCGGAGATTTTAGCATCTATGGCTTGAAGCTCCCCTTTCAGCAGACCGTTCTCCTTCTCAAACTGCACAAATCAAGGCTCGAATAGTTAAAAG